GTTCTAGTCAAGTAAAATGATTATGAGAGTTACCAGAACCTTTTGGGGAAAGGGAAAAAAAAAAAAAAAAAAAACCCTAAGAAGACTTATGTGTGATTAATATTTAAGAAGAAAATATTTAACTTTTTTTCAAGTTACATTACTAAGTTAAAATTTCTGTTAGCTTGTCAGGAATGTAGAAAGATTTTGCCACTAAATTTTTAATTTGTTCAGTTTGACATATCTTGCAAAGATCATCTTGTCATATAGTCTTGAATATTCTAAAGTGTACCTAACAATGATGATGTTCTAGAAAATTTTGTTTTCCATGTATGAAAATTGTATATCAAAGATTTGATGATGTTATCACACATATTTAGGACATAACATCATCCATCATCAATAAACAAAATCAGTAAACACGTAGTTAGAGGTTGTAAAATCATGCATCGAATCGAATAAAATTAAAAGTTAAACTAATAAAGAGCTTTAGTATAAGAAAAGAAAACTTTCAAAATTGGCTAGTGGCGATCTACACATACAAAGCTAAAACAGAGTAACAAATTCGTAATTATTTCAGTTGCCAGATTCCTACACTTAAATAAGTAAACGCTCAGAGACAGCACTTCTAACATCCTCCATTTTTTTTAGTAAAGTGAGGCATGTACGAGCATTAAACAAAATTAATTGTGCAAAAGTTAAAAAATGTTTAGGATAAAACCTTTCTTTCACTCGAATCACTCTTCTGGAACGTGTTTGTATGGGATGTTTCTCCATTTCAGCTTCTGAAAACTTTCTTCTTTCAAACTATTGAGACCGCTGGATTAAAGGGTTCCTTTCTTTGATAGATTCAGAATTTGTAAAGGTTTGTATTCCTTACAAATTCTTTGCTTCAACGATTGGTATAGTGAACCAATTCAAAGGACGTCTCAATGCATATTCTTTGACCAATTGCTCCTGGTTTTAGTTTTTTTCAATGGATACTTTAATGGCGATATTTGTCAATAGAGGGCGCCTGTGAAATACGTATTTATTTGGATTTCTGCTTCCAGCAAGGACAGAACCAGAGAAGCCGACCGCTATATCGACACCGCTACGTAAAAAATGACATATATAATTTTATATTTCATGATACTTACACATAATATATAATAATTTATGTCACATAAATATAAAATACTGAGTTTGATGCATATTATGAAATCATGTAACGCTCCTATTTATATTTTTTCATTCGAAGGTAGATAAGTCATTATCAAATCTAATATGAAAGTATCCGGTAGAACAAAATAGTATTCTTGATGGAATATCTTTTGCAGCGATATCAAGATATCACGGAGATTAGAGATCAATTACTAACTTACGTTTTAGTATAAAAACAGTGCAAGCACGTATATGTTATTTGCATAAAACATAGCGTGAAGATAATTTGCGGTACTATATATATTTGAACTCCTTCTAAATTACCAAATTTCAGAAAAACTTCTGGTGATGAACTCAGTCCATATGGCAACCTCAAAAAACAATATCTACGAAACGGAGTGTTAAATGTAGTAAATTCACAACTTGAATCTGACAGTTTAATTTGCCAAAATACTTTGTTTGCATCTAAAATACTAAAGACCTTTGCATTTGTCATTTGAAATGAAATTTCTTCAAAGGTGCCGAGTGCTTTGACTAAAAACTGTAAGTTTTGGAATGAATGACTAGTTTGAAGATTTCTCTTTGTACTGAAATGAATGAAATTAAATTGAGGGTATTCAATTTAATTTCATGCATTTCAGTACTAACATGCGTTTAATCAATTGCTAACATTAATTTTATTATAAAATCTTTACAGGACATATTATTTGTATGAAAAGTAGCGTGAAAATAATTTGCGGTATACATCCGCGTTCTGCTTTGAGTGAAAACTGCATAACGTCTAAGTGTTGGAATGAACGACTAGTTTGAAGATTTCACTTTGCAAAGAAATGCATAAAGTGAAATTTCATTTCTAAGTATCAGGTTGATAAAGTTCACCTGGTTATTGATTGAAGAGAAAACGCGCAGATAGATTTCCATACGTGAGAAGGGCGAGCATCATTAAACGCAATTTCTTATGTGTTTTTTAAATACATCAGATAAATTGTTTATTTTCTTAAATTTCATACTAATATTAGCCCTTTTAATGAAAAAAAAAAAAGCCATAATCGAATTTTAATTGAATGGAAAGCAGGATAATGAAATTCTTTGAACAGAAATCTGTAACGGAATAGCAAGAAAATAATCCTTTAATTTGAAAGATTGTATGTCGAAGAAAAAGTTTTTGCAAAATGTTAAGCATTGTTGTTAAACTAAAAGAAACCGAATAAATAATAACAATTTATTCCGATTTCAAAGTTATCAGCAAGCTACTGTGATACAAGTCAAAATTTGAAGCTTTATTACTGTCGCCGTGATCGTATAGTGGTTAGTACATTGCGTTGTGGCCGCAATAACCCAGGTTCGAATCCTGGTCACGGCAATGGTTGATATTTTTTTCATTTCTTATTAAATTTTGTGTTTTAAAAGATAGGATTTACTCAATATTATTAATTATATAAAATACGTGCTGTATATCATAAGACGGCAAATAATTGCTAATTTTCTTATATTTAATAATTATATTATAACGCTCAAAATTACGTGTATAAAGTGCATAAACTTCGAAAGGAGACCAAAAGCATTGAGTATAATTCAACTATAAATATAGAACTAAAACTTTTTTTGAGTTTTCAAATTATTAAATCAATGTATATTAAAAAAGAAACCACAAACAAAAATGTTTTGCAAGAACGTAATTAAAAAAAAATCTTAAAAGTGCTACATTTATTCTATTCATTAGAGCATTTGCTTTCAGTATGGGATGCAGTAAAACTTTATCGATAACATTTGCTGATAATTTGGCAATTGCTATACATTGAATTGTTAGAATTATAAATAATTAGCAATTTTCGAAACCGCATTTTTGAAAAGTGTTACCTATTTACGATATTACTTTCAGTACGGATAATATATATATAATATATATATATATATATATATATATATATATGTATATATACATATTTATCGTAATTTTAAAATAGTATATTTTGTTTCACTTAAGACTGCAGTTACGCAAAATTTTATTATTTATAATACAGACTTTGTGTTGTAATGTTACAAAATTCATTTTATAAAATGAAAATTTTCAAGCAACTACAGTATAGAGTGGCGCCATCTATCGGTTATTTCGTATAGCTACACTTAATAGCGAAATATTCAGTAATTCCATCTACCGGATACTTTTATAGTCATTAAATAAATTGGAAAGTATTTTAAGTGAAACTCAGGTGCAGATTTTAGTCGAAAGACTAAAAGTAAATCTTTAAAACAATAGACTTTACCTGAAACAAAATTTTTTAAAATTATTGTTTATTTTTAATATTGCTTCTTAAAAATTAGGAATGCTAAAACGCTCCTTAGCTCCCGTGCCTTTTTTGTGGGATGCTGGGTGAAGACATTTTCGCAGAGTGTTCTATGGTACTCTTTTATGTGGTTTTCGCAAAAGGCAAAAAATGTATTTATATAAATTTTTAGCCCATCTAACGTCCCATTAATTTTAGTACTCCAAGCAGAACTCCAGAACCCTGGGGAGCTGTGTAGCTAGCTCACTTTGCATCCAGCTCTGTTTATGTATACTTAACCCGATTGCCGTTATCCAAAAGAAATTTTAAAATTAAATTTCGTAAATACTCGTATTTCGCAATTCTTAGCGAAAAAAAAAAAAAAATCCTTGAGATTTAAAATTTTTTTCAGACAACTTTATCAAACACTTTGTTGAATTACGTTTTAAAAAAGGAGTGATAAACGTACAGCATTTTTTATTAAATCAATCAGTCAAGGAAAGACTAACCTCGTCTTGTTATTAAATATTCGTACATCGGCCTAAGCTCGGAAACTGCAAGACCAGCTGTAAAATATCTCTTAAATTTCCAAGGAAGTTCAAAATACCATTATAAATGTTATTTTCTATAAAATGTTAATACAGTTATATTTAATGTAATATTGTATAATGAGAACCATGAAACTTAACATTTTGATGTAAAATATAATGTATTTTGTTGAAAATACTGTATGGCCTCGTGAGAAGAAACACGCTCTCCTGAATCAAATTCACACTATTAAAAATCTACATTTCCTCTGTATTTCTATATACTAATCTTTATCAGGAAAATATAAGAAAATACGCAAGCGTCACGAAATTCGCATTTAGTAACTACTGTAAGTTTTGTTTTCTCTCGACTATTAATGAGACACTACAGTATATAGTACTATATATATTCGCTGAAAGAATAATCGTCCACGTAGCTCTAAACACTGGTAGTACGATCCGGGTTCGAATCACGACGAATGGGCTGGGCTGGCTGCGTGAGTTTTCGTGGTTTTCTCCATGTGTAATGCTGATACGAGTCAGTTTCCTTTAAAAATTTCTCAAAGAAAACCTTTGTCTCTATAGGCAAGTAATCTTTAAAGGGCTTTGCTTTAAGTAATTAAACTAACCCAATCTGAAAAGTCTGTCTTTGAATGAATGCAACTGGTTTCGGGGTTCGGTTCCAAACAAATAAGAGTTGGCTAGTTGTATGTGGCTGAACTCAGCGATTTAATTCTTTGTGATAAAAATCTACTTTTCTGATGTAATGATACTATTTTTTTCTCCCTTCTTACTAAATATGCACTTTTTCCCTTTTATGAATTGTCAAAAATTTTGGGGAAGTTACATTGCTTCCCGAAAAGTTTGTCTGAATTTTTAATTTCATGCCTAATTATATATTCTTATATAATATTTAAAAATTCGACTCATCAAGGAAAGACCATAATACTGCATTTCTTTTACCAAAAAGGAACTAATTGCATCTGAGAGAAAATAATCAAATTATCTCATTTATATATTATATTAGTTATATTTATTTCCTCTTCTGTAAGTTCTTATTTTCCGTTAAATTTTTTTATTAGGTGGACCTTTTGATGCTGAATTTGCCATGTCTTACATCACAGGACCACATCTAGACACCGGCCAGTGGCTGAAGAAACTTGATTTAAAAGAATATAATGAACTGTTCAAGAGCTATAATGGCGTTGAAGTATATATATTTAATGCTATATGAGTTTATCATTTATTTTGTTTTCTAAAACCAACTATTTGGATCTGATATATTATTTCAAAAATGAGTATTATGCCAAAATTTACAGGAAAGGCAATTACCGGAATTATCTTCCTGGTATTCTTTTGTGTTGCGCAGACTTTAAACTTCGCGTTTTCTACTCTAGTAACGCCGTTTGCATCGATTAGCAGTAGTAGTTTCTATCCCCCCCCATCTCGTTTTGACTGTAAAACCGCTTTGCACTATATCAGATATAAAAAAAAGTAATTCGTTTCTTGATTTCTAAAATTGCTATTAAAAAAAATCTCTATCAGCAAATGTACAGATTTTACCGTTCGTAAACGCATTTTCAAAATTAAAACGAGAAAAAAACTTCGCAAAATATGGCAGAACTCAGAAGACCCAAGCTGAGAAGAAAGGTTTAATCAGAATAACTGTGAAATTAAGTTAATACTTCGAAACTTTAATAACAGTAAATGTCTCAAATTCATGAGTAAACTTTATCACAAAAATCAATCAATGTGGAAGGTTATTAAACATCTAACAAAAGATGTTCTCGAAAGCTGCACCGTAAGTCACGCTTTTCAAACATATCAGTTCTAAATACATAACTAACATCCATTCCGAAAATTTTTTTGGAGAAAAAAAAATACAGCAATGGAAACATCAATCCCAAAATCGATTGAGGTTGCTTCAGTTTGAGTAGCCTTAGCAAAACACGTAGAAACTGATTACAGTTCCTCTAAAGCGACACCTTTTTATCACTGAGATTTTTTCGAAACCCCCAGGACACCATAATATTTACAAAAATTTTGTGGAGCCCCGTAAGTATTGCGCAAATCCGACACACTCGTGAGTGAAATTGTCAATTTTTTTCACTTGTACTGTAATATACTATTGCAGTTTTAGGTCATTAACTTTAATTTCTAATTTTAAGACATAGAACATGTGAAAATTTTAAATAAGTAACAGAAGAAACGACAGCGTCACGTGCAAAGCAAGGAAAATGAACGTTTATGTTATTAAAAAAATGCGTTGAAACGTTTTCGTTTTTTTCTTTGTCTGTATTGTCTTATCTTTATCTATTTTCAGATACATTGTGTAAAAATATTTGGTAATTGCAAAATTATTATAATAAGTTAAGGAAATATCAAAATCGCTAAAATTTTTGGCGACCCCCTTACGAGTCGCAACCCACAGTTTAAGAAACCCTGCTCTAAAGTAACGCATTTCAAGCCATAATCAAAGTGCCGTGACTCATCAGAAACTCATTTCCTTTTAAAAATTTAATTAACTCTTACATTCACAATAGTATGCTCAGTAGTGTGTTGAGAATTTATATACAATCAAGTGCACAGTATCTGAAATGAAATTATCGCGCTACCAGATAAGAACCATCATTTACTTCCAGTTCTGTTGCTAAAAGTCGGCTACGGAATGTCACCAAATCATGTGTACAGCTTTAGGTACTAATGTTGTATTATATGACACTGTGAAGGTTTAGTATCGAAAGTTCAAAAACAAGGACTATCACTTTCAAGAGGCAGAGCGCTCTGCCGCCTTTCTGAGATCTTGTGGAAGAAGACCAATTTGCAACCACTCGGAGAGCTTGCTAAGGAGTTAGACGTTAGTGCCATGCCCATTAGTCGCACTACGCATCGCATAAACATGACATGCAAGCTCAATCGCTGAGTGCCACATGATCTGACTCAAGCAGATAAGGACAGACGTGTTCAGGTCTGAACTAATTTGCTCGAATATCAACGCAAGGAGAAAACTTCTGGACCAGATCATCCATCTCCTGTGATGGAAAGTTGAATTTAATTCAACTGTACAAGCCGAAAAAGGGGTTGGTTTATGCCGGCCAGCATGTCGGCAGTGTCGCAAAGCGCAATTTGGCTAACAAAAGGATCATTGCTTTCGTTTTTATTTATTTATTATTTATTTTATTTTTCCGTGAAACTTTTGTTACAACCAGATATTAATCGGCAAGCTGTTTTAGTTCTGTGATTATGCACTTCAGTTGAATGGGCTGGCCGCATAGAGGCTTGTGTGGTTTTCCACATATGTAACGTGAATTTCAGCCAGTTTTTCTTTAAAATCTTAAAATTACCTTACAAAAGGCACTCCTTTCCTAAGACAGACGGTCCAAGTATGGGCTGCCATAATCGACAAAATCAACTGACCAATGTATGATTATATTCTCCAACAAATACCAAATTTTGCAAATTTTTCTTCACACATTCATTATGATTAGTTTATTATATTTTATAACGATTTATTATGATAAGGATTTGATGTATAGAATGAATAAGAAATGATAGATCTTTATATTTGTTACAGGATATTTTGTCTTTGTCCGAACGAGAATTAAAATCGTTAGGTGTGAAAAATAGTTCTCACAGAGCTCGAATGATGACGTCCCTTGTCATTCTAAGAGACAAGTATGATAGAGGTAAATTTATATTATTTCTTTGATGTTAAATCATTCAATAGACTTAGTAGAAAAAAAGATAGTGTTTTATTGGTAGTTTTGAGAGTATTTCGATTTTTGAACTATGAATACACGTTTCCTTGTTTACTCTTAATTTTATGCTTTATAAAATAATAATTATTTTCTATTGTTTGAAAACTTCCTTACTTTCTGTAACGAGCGTTCTAGGGACAAAAGAACAAATCAGAGTGGTCAATAATTTCTGTTTTAAAGCTCCTTAAAAGAACCTAATTACATGGGAAGAGAGCAAAGAGGGTTCACGTTTTATATCGGTGCTCCATCATAAAGAGTGCCGCAATTTCACTGTTGTTTGAAAAAGACAGAATCAATATAAAACTGCCCGTACCCATGTGAAGGTAATTTCCAACTTATGCAAAACAACCTTCATAATGGTGCGGGAGGCTTTATACCTAGCGTCATTTGCCTTGATAGATTTTAATTTGTTATTATAACCATCAAAGCAGATGAAAATTCTGCTTACATATTATAGTTATGTCCCGGAGGTTTCTTTTCTGTTTACATCGTAGAAACCGATTTTCGCAACGACTTTTATGCCTAAAAATCTTGAAGGTTCCTGTGTTTTCCAGTAATCTAAATACACTGGTTATCATAAATTAAGGAAAAATCACAAAAATCATGATTACTGAAAAAGTTACATGTAGAATTTAATGAAACGTGCCCACAATATACAACACATAGTAAGGTATCAAATAACATAAAAAGAAATTACCAGACAAATATGGTAGTATAGAAATTAGCACATGTATAAAATGAACGAATCGAAGGTGTCAGTTTGCTATAGGAAAAGTACCTTCAATATGGAATATGATCCCCTCTAGAAGCAACACAGCACATACAGCGATGTGTGATGCTTTCAATTATGCGGTCTATCAGTTCCATGGAAGCGAGAGCCATTGCACTTGCAAAGCAGTTGCAAGCGCGACAAGGGTTTGAGGAAGCGGATTGAGAGCAGCTAGATGTCTCCCTAAAGCATCCCAAAACGTGCTCGATAGGATTCAAGTCCGGGGATCGAGCTGGCAACTCCATGTGCATAATTGTTTCCTGTTGAAGATAATCATCTACGATGCCCTGTGTGGTCTTGCGTTGTCGTCCTGTAACGGGAAAGCAACACCTATTGCCCCTGCATATGGGCACACATAAACATTAAGGATGTCATCTCTATAAATCCGAGCATTCACGTTTTCCCTTGGAAAGACATGGAGGTCTGTGCGTCCACCCAAAGAGATGCCACCCAAACACAGACACTGCCCCTTCCGTATGCATCTCTTTCACGGATGTTTGATGGATGATAACAGGTTCTAGGTTCTCTCCATATCAAATAACGCCTACTATCGCTTTCTATACTAAACCTGGACTCATCCGTAAAGAGAACCGCCCTCCATTGATCAGGCGTCCAGTGGACATGTTGTCGTGCCCACTGAAAACGGTCCCTCCTATGGCGTGACGTGAACGGCACACAAATGGCTGGTCGCCTCGCATACAGACCACCTTCGTGAAGCCTTCTACGCACAGTGACGTTGACACGAACCTTCCGGTGACTGCAGCAAGGGAGGATCTAAGAAACGTCGGAGTAGCGGTTCTATTCCTGCGTGCACATAATGTCAAATATCGGTCATCGGCGCTCGTCGTAGTATCAGGTTCAATGTTTCTTCTAACCTTCTTCGGAAACATACAATGACCTGACTAGGAACAGAGAGCTTACTAAAGCTATGTTCACTAATTGTAGTAAGTAGACAGGATACAGACGAAGGGTATACAAGACCCTTTATTTTTCTTTATATACAATGACTTCCGTACTTCGGAATACAATGACCCTCCACTCGGGGTCTAACGTAAAAGGTATAAAATAAAACTAAACTCTAATTTAACTTTAGAATAAGATTGGCCTTATAATAACAGGAAGCGTATGTAGCACAGAGACTGTGAACACTACAATACGTTTAATTTATCAAGAGGATTAAAACCTCTGGCCTGGAAGGCAAATAGCAACTGCGTAACTTCTAAGGTAAGCGGCCTGCTTCGAACTCACTGCTTCCTCTCTCCTGCTTGGCAAAAAGGCCACACTTAAATACTTGGCGTTCGCCAGACAACTTTGCATAAAATCCTTCACGCTTATAATTCTGGCCGGAAGTAGAAAATAAGAAGTGATAGTAAAGATTTAAAATAAAATAAACGTTAGTAAAACTTAAGATCCTTACATACTTCCCGCCAGAGTTAATTAGTTTGAAACTGAGGTCTAAAACGACCTTGTTGAAAACTTTTAGCTCTAAAAACTAACGCGAGGCCAACCTTTTACAATCATAACTTAGCTAGAAACTAGAAAATTTAAAAGAAAGAAATTTGTTACAATAGCAGCTCCCGGGATACAACCAATCTTTTTTTTTTTTTTTTTTTTCATCTGTACTGCATCTAAACAGGAGCTTTTATTCAATTCTGGTTCCTTCCAGAGATCTGGAAGGAAAACTAGTTTAATGAAATGTTACAGAATGACATTGCAATTAACATATAGAATATACTTCTCTTAACATTCTTATTTCATTCATGACTATTTTAATTATCTCTCCCCGTGCTCTCTGACATGTGTTGTAAAAGAACACCAAACACGAATGTGTTTCTGTCTACGTGTGCCAACACTTCCTCCTACAATCAAAACACTAACGTGTTAAAATTCAACATACGAAACCTCTTAACACACCCTACCTTTCAACTTTCAACTCTAAACCCTGAGGTACTATTCTGAAAGTGGCTAACTCTAAAGTGTAGCGTCAGAGAGCCTAACTACATCATTCAACCTTTAACACATATTCACCATGATTTAATCTTTACAGTCACACGAATAACAAATTTTTAACATTACTTTCACTTTTACCATATCACGGTATTTCTTAACATTCAAAATAACAGTTCACATGTATACAAGAACATATCAACATGCCGTTAATTTTACACATTTGAAAACATACATTAGTAGTACATTGTTAACTTCTATTCTTTTCAAAGCAAGTGCCAATTCTTTCTACATTGAAATAATACTACATTTCAAAAAGTCTTTCAGACTAAAACTTCTTTCTTGCTAGAATGTTTTAAATAAAATTTATACAATAACTTTTTACAATATTTAAGTCTTTACACAACGCTATTATACATCAACTTTAGTTTTACGCGCGAGTAATTGAAAAACATAATAAAAAATCGGTCACAACTCATTTCTCGCCCTTTTGGCGATAAAGGTAGACCTCGCATGAGGTAAAACTTCTTGAAATCTGCCACTTGCAGTAAGAATGAAAGATTAACTTAAGTTTGTAAAGTAACATAAAATTTTACTTATCTTTGTAATATTCAGGACATCCTTTTCTGGGCCCAGTCTTTAAAGGTATAGCTGATAGTAGCTTGGTTGATCCTCCTTCTTGTACGGGCTCGCCCTTCAGTGCTTTCCTCTGGAAGCTTCCGTTTTTCACCAGTACGGCCACCCTTGAACACCTTCCTTTTGTGCCTCTGCTTGTGGTCTTGGCCGTTTGAAGGCAGCTGGTCTTGGTGGAACCGGGAAACTTCTGTCGTGATCCTGCTTGGACCTCGTTGTTGGCCGTTCAAATTTTTCTTGTACTTTTTTCCTCCGCCGCTGATGGCCCTTCCGCAGTTCGGCGACTTTTGCTGCGGAGAGTTCTGTCGGATGAGTCAATCTTCCGTTTCACAGCCGGGTTATAGTTGCCGTCCTTTCTCTCCCGGTCCTTTCCACATACGTCGTCCTTCTCCCTTCTTCATTCTGGGGGTGTTCGTGAACTCTGTTTTCTGGACGGTGGAACGGCTTCTTTTTCTTTTTACCTTCAATTTTTCCGCGGGGCAATTTTCTTTTCACTTGCTTCTGTCTCTCATTGGCTTGCCCTTGTACTTGTCGTTTTCCCACCTCTGGAACTTGTACCTGCGGTGTCTGCCGTACCGGATCCTGCAAAAGATCTGAAAAGATTTTCATTTTATTACGATCGAAGTAGGGTTTAATTTGATCAATATTTGCGGAACAGGTTTCACCATTTCTTGCCTTTAACACTACAACAGCGTGAGTTATTTTTTCTATAACATATGGTCCTTCAAAGCGTGGAAAAAATTTGGCAGTTTTATCTTCTGGTGCTGAAGAAAGTGAATGCTTAATTTTTAGTACTTCATCCCCTACTTTATAAGTTACTCCCCGTCGTTTCAAATCATAATAATAGAGTTTTTTGTTTTCTTTGTGCTACTTCAGTATTCTTTTTTGCTTCTTTAATTAGTTTTTCTATATCACCCATTTTAAATTCTGGGGCTCTTTGTTGCACATAAAATAATTTATCTAACGGTGTTTATAATCTTTCTGCCTAGAAATAACTCAGCAGGAGTTTTGCCCGTTGTATCATGTTTTGCGGTCCTAAGGGCGAAAGCAAATTCATTGACATAGTTATCCCAGCTTTTATGAAAATTTTTAACATAACTACGGATAATTTTCACTATATTTCTATTGACCCGTTCCGCTATATTTGATTGCGGCCGATACGGGACCATTTTTAAATGACGTATGCCCAGTTTTTGGCACATGTCTTCAAATATATTACTTACAAATTGAGGACCATTATCCGATATAACTTTTAGGGGCGCCCCGTATTTTAAAATATATTTATTTAAAATAGAATCAGTAACTAATTTCGCGGAGGCTCGTTTTAAGGGAACAATTTCGGTCCATTTACTAAAATGATCAACCATAACAAGGAGATAGCGACTTTTGTTTAACTGACTTTTTGGGAAAGGGCCCAATAAATCGATGCCGAATTATTTCATTTGGAAATTCGGATTTAATACTATTTAGAAACCCGGCCGGGCGGAAATTAATATAATTAACGGCTTGACATGTTGGGCAGGACTGGACATACGCCCTTGTTAACTTTTGCAGTTCAGGAAAGTAGACTGCCTCGCGT